CATACGTTTCAAGGTGGAATGGGAGGTTGACAACAAGCTCCCCTTCCTGGAGACTCTAGTTCATCGCTCTGCTTCCCCATATACAGGAAGCCCATCCACAGTGGTATGCACATTCACTTCTCATGAAGAGAAGTGTTGCCACTTCACTGTTTCTTCTTGCCTTTCGCATCTCTGATCCCCAGTACTGGGATGGAGAGATCGATTTCCTACGTCGATCGTTTTCGCAACTAGGTTACCCTTGCCATGTTCTCGACGTCGCGTTATCCACGGCGCGGGATGCCTTCTACAACGACTCCTCTCCTAAAGAGACTCCTCACCTGCCCGTCCTCAACCTACCCTACACTGAGGAGACCTAAGCCGTCTTTTCCAGCTGTTACGGAATATGCGACACCTCTCGCGCGACAGAAATCGAGCAGGCGATAAACATTTATCGAGTTGCCAGATGCATTCCTCCTACTTCTGATATTTCATGCTTATTCGTACTTAAGTTGGATATCTTTAATACAGTACAACCCACCATAAGATATCAAAACCCTTCTAGGATATCTTATTCCAAAATACTGTGTACCTGTCAAAAAATAATAAGCAAACCAGCTAGCCGTCAACCACAGCCATTCCCAATATGTCATAAAAATGGGTGGACGTTAGTGGCCTGTCTCGCCTCCAATCATAAGACAGCGCGTCAACCGACACCTTAATTACCACTGGAAAGGATGGCACTACTTTACGATGTCGGAGAGGCGGTCAGAGCGACGGACGTAATATAGAAAATTACCCTAATAATATAATCCACAGTGAAAATAACCAAGGTTATTCACATGACTTTCCATTGCATATATTTGGGGTGGGGGTGGGGGGTGGCGGCCGCCCCCAACCCCCGCCGAGGAAACAAAATATCCACCACATATTCACGGCAGGATAGAGCGCACACGAACTAGTTGCGGAGCCGATAAACCCTACCATTACCTAGGATTTTTAAGGTACTAACGTGATTCCACACTCGGTCATCGCGGCGGCTATGGCGGAGTACTGAACGCGGCGATTATTTCGGTCAGGAATTCGAAAATCGTGATTCCAGGGGACGGGAAACTCCACCTTGAGGCCATCGGTGTAGCATCGAGAGAGGCGCAAAACCCGCCGACGAGGGCGTTCTTCTGTTCATGGTATACCCTGTTCATCCTTACTATACTATAACAGTCTCTGTATACAATGCTGACTATGTCAAGGTTTGTATGCTGATTCAGTGTGAATGTTACGAGGTAATTGTAATACGTCCGCCGGTCCGAGATCGACGATAATTGTGTAACGCTCTAGCCTGCCGGGAATACATGGTGGAGGTTTCTGTTTCCTCGGCGGGGATTGGAGGGCGGCAGCCCCCCCCCTCCCCTCAAGGGGGAAAGTCATGTAAATAACCATGGTTATTTTCACAGTGTGTTATATTATTAGTGTTATTTAAACCCGCATTTTCCCTGGAACCTTCCATGCCTTTCCTTGCTATCGGGGCCAAGTTTGTCGCTAACGGGGGTCGATATCGGAGAGGCAAAGATAATATAGAAAATTATCATATATATATAATATATATATATATATATATATATATATATATATATATATATATATATATATTATATGCAACTCGCACACACACACACAACACACACACACACACACACACACAACACACACACACGCACACACACACACACACACACACACACACACACACACAAGGAGACACAAATAAGTGTGGGATTCATGTCGAACAAATTTCAATTAGAACTAGAAGCACCCACAGAGGGCATACCTCCGCCAAGGCAATAGAGTCAATGATGCGATAAAAATATTCACGCTTGAAAAATTACATCAAAATCACCTCTTTCTCAAGTACACAGGTGACGTCCGTGTTTCCCTATCTCGCAATGCTAATGAATCCTTTAATCTCATGATCTGGATCACCACCAAAATTTAATGGCATCTAAATTGAGCTAAGTCACACCTCTCTCTCTCTCTCTCTCTCTCTCTCTCTCTCTCTCTCTCTCTCTCTCTCTCTCTCTCTCTATATATATATATATATATATATATATATATATATATATATATATATATATATATATATATATATATATATATACTCCCGATTCCTTGCACGGACCGTCCGAAATTTTACTTGGGCGAAACCGGCAGAACTTTTGAAAAAAAAAAAAGAACATAGCCGTGATGTCAGATACGCCAGAGAATCTAATGTTTGTTTTATTCATTTCCGTGACGAAGGACATCAGTTAAATTGGAAAGACGCTAAAGTCATTCCTAGATCGTCCAGTTCATACAAGAGAAAAATAATTGAAGCCCTCGTTAGAAAATTGGCTTGAGTCCTGACCAATGGGGATTAGATGATCTTACCTCATCACTTGTTAGCAAAGCCTTCCCCAGACTCTTCGACCTTAAACGTCCTCCAGATACCTGATACAGATCTTGTTCATTCTGTCTCTACCACCATATAAACATGTCAACATTCTCTTCTTGTATCCATTTCGGGTTTTGTCCAAAGAGGAACTCGTGAAGAATTTATTTTCAGTTCTCATTGTGGCTATTTCCATTTTCATTTTTTGTACACGTTACTGTATTTGTGCTTGTGTTCATATATATATATATATATATATATATATATATTATATATAATATATATATATATATATATATATATATATATATATATATATGTGTGTGTGTGTGTAAAGATTTAGAGAGAGACGTGAGAGTTTGTATGGTTCTTCGGACGGTCGGCTCCCTCAAAGAAGCCCGAGTTGATTCTCCCGCCGGAGAGGAAGCCGGGGCCGCGCGCCGATATTTGCCCTTCCGACGGCCCCCTTCCCGCCAACGTTGACTCGCTCTTGGGCTGTCAATCACGGCCGCCGGACGGGAGAGGGTCAGCACTGTACTAGCCCATCATCGCCAATTCATTAAATTAAGATACTAGCTGCTCCCTCCCCACCCCCTCCCCCAGACCCGTCACATCACGGCGCCGCATGAAGAGCTGGATGACTGATATGCTCTGATATTAATCCGCTTATCGCTGCTGTCAGGAGAGATTAACCACAGTACTGATGAGCTTATGGCTGTGTCAATCAAGCATATTTCAACCGGAGTGAATTTAGGCATGCGAAGGGGCAGTATTTGGTGGTCAATGCTGATGTTTTGGTTTTACGTGTGCGTGTATTCCGGAAGTAATGTGATCTCAGTCGAATTAAATATAAAAATATTACCGAACAGAATTAGACATCTAAATAACACATATTAACACACACACGCAAACATACACGCACAAGCTTCCCCTCACACACACGTATACTAGTACGCACATACATCACTTGAAATTAATTCCTAAACATCAGCTTGCTACATCTGTAACCATTTTGAGTCACTAAATCATTAGACCTTATATCTCCAAACAGCTGTGAGGGATGAAAATATGATATACGCTCTATGCGTTGACACAGCAGTACACCCCCCCCCCATTATGGTATTGCTAAGTCTGCCATTACGGTACTCCATTTGTATTTTCCCCCTTTCCTGCCAATTACCATTTCGTATTTGTATGTACATATTTACTTTTACTTACACCCTCACAAAGAAAAATCGGAAAATCGTATAGAATTCAGTTGAATTTCTTCGGAACGGAAATGGAAAAAGTCACTGAATAACTTTAAAACTAAATCGAAATTAAAGAAATATAACAAAGAGTCCCATAAACCCATTTTCTGTGGTGGATATGTGTTACAAAACGGCATCTAACCTTCCATTGATTAATAACAGCCTTTTTGTTGTTATGTAATAATAGAAATATAAACAATAAATTCTTCTTTCTTTCTTTTGTTTTCTTCCACATTTCTGGTTGAAAATCTTTTGGTTTGTTTTTTGTTCTTGTAGATTTAATGGAGTCACGTTTTTATGGATGTCGAATAGCATTAGTTGTAAACATTGATAGTTAATAATCTTCGTTTGGTATAAGTTTGAAGACTTAGTTTAGGTTGAGGTAACGTGTGCAAATTTGAAGTCCAGGGAATACTTAGTTTCATGGAAATATAACACCTAGCTACCCTAACATTTCCCCCCCAAAAAAAACAACTATAGTACATGTTTTTTTGTGTAGCTGTTAGTGTTGTTTACCCATCAGTAAAAACGATATATATTTCAAGTTAACGGGGGCTTTAACTTGTGGATGATGATTCTCAGCGTGCCCTGTGCATAATGTGAGTGACAGACACACTAATTCGACCTCACAGGTTACACGCGGTACGTACTTTGTCTGTTAAACGCCAGATTTTTAAATCGATTTAGGAACCATTTTAGAAGTCATGGAATCCTCTAGCAGTATTGCATGTGCGTGCAGAACCTACGAAATATACCTCATGATAATTTCACTTCACTGAAGCGTACTTTTCCCCCCATCAGCTTCAGCCTATGGACAAGAATAAATTGCACTGGAAGTCAGTGATGATGAACACCTGGAAGAGCCGAACAAATTCTCTCCCCCCCCCCCTCCCTCTCTCTCTCTCTCTCTCTCTCTCTCTCTCTCTCTCTCTCTCTCTCTCTCTCTCTCTCTCTCTCTCTCTCTCTCTCTCTCTCTCTCTCTCTCTCTCTCTCTCTCTCTCCCTCTCTCCTCCCTCCCCTCCCTCTCCCTCCCTCCCTCCCTCTCTCCTCCTCCCTCCCTCTCCTCTCTCCCTCCCTCTCTTTCCTTCCTCTCCCTCCTTCCCTCCCTCCCTCCCTCTCTCTCCTTTCCTCCCTCCCTCCCTCTCCCTCCCTCTCTCTCACGTGTTTAGATCGTACCTTTATGCCAAATCACTTTTTCAAATTATGAGAAACGTGCGACCAAATTCGCATCTTACGCAGAGGATACAGCAGTTCGCAAAACTCCATACTAAGGAAGGAGCCAATACTTTTCCCCAGATCGGAGCCTCTCATTATTCCTGGAAAATTCTCCCTGCCGTGATTAGCCGCTA